TACATAAATTTGTACTCAAGTGACTAACAGTCGATCTCCTTCAGGTCCTTTCAAAATAGCTCTTTTTTGTCCACGCGCGAGCTTTACGCGTCTCGTATTTAACTAGACACATTTAATGTTCAACGTATTATACGTCTGAGACGTTTTATTCGTCGTCTTACCCAAATACGATGATTTATCTGTTTATTATGACAATCAGTTGGCCAGATCTCATAGGCATTTCGCCGCATTCAGTCCGCTTTGGGTTACGCGAAATGAATTGGCCGTGAAGGCCTGAGAAGAAGCGTTCAGGAACCAAGCATAGGAATCAGGTCATATCTGAAAATCAATGTTTAATTGGAATTTCTTTTTTCGATATGTTTATAAATCAATTATTATTTTGGTGACTTTGCTAAATGAAGAATGCTCCCATGATTGAATAATAAAAGTATTTCAAGCATAGTCACACCCACCCTCCCACTCGCAAACCCACCTATACTATTGATCGCTTGATTGCAGATTGATTGCACCAATCACAGGAAATCATGTACACAGGCAGTCACATCTACTACAATAAACTATGATAAAACATCTTGTAAGGTGACAAGCATAATTTTTTTAGGTACCTTGTCTTGGAAGATTCGCTGTGTCAGTGCCACCAGCAGAAACTCCGAGGAACTAGATCCTCAAGAACAAAGTGAAAGGGTAAACATTTATATGGCAAAGATGGCTAATGAAGCAATCAAGAAGAAAAAATTTGATCTGTCTTCCTATGAGGGATTGCAAGATTATTACGTTTACTTACGCGGACATCTTTCGCTACAGGATGTAAGGCTTCAGTTGAGTAGCATTAAAATAACTGTTAAATGCTCTACCCTGGCGATTCTTGAATACCTGTGGTATGAGTATTGCTCTGGTCGCCTTAACGCAGAAGCGGAGAAATGCCTCATTACAGAGAAGGTTAAGGACGAGCTTGGTATGGAGACCATACAGCTAACAACAACTATCTTGGAAGAGGATTATTTGGCATGCAAATCGTCACTAATGGCAATTTTAGGTAAGTTTTAATTGTTTTCATCTGTTAGTAAGATGTTGTTATAGTGTGTGTTTTTCATCAAATTTGGGTCCATATGTATGAACAGGTACAAACAGCCATGCGTTACAGCTTTCATCGTCCAGTTAATGGGAGAGGCGGTGTGTGTATTTATTAACAAAACAATATAAATTATCATATCCGGGATGACTTATGCAATGACCAACTTGAATACCTTGTTATCGAAGTTATTAGACCGCATTCTAGACCCTTCCTAGTAAGTACGTGATACAGACCTCCGAGTTCCTTCCAGGACATTTTTTGTCGAATTGAATTCCTGGTAAACCGTATATAAAACTGATCCCAAACACAAGGATTTCTACCTTCTGGGAGGTCTCAATTGTGACATGTTGCGAGATCGGTCAAACAAACTTTTTTGTTGAATTTAGCGAATATATTCGGATTTTCAGGCCAAGGGCGCTTTCCATTTGTTGGAACTGGCCGGTCGGACTGGTCCGTCCGTAAATGGAATGCGCGAGTTCTGAGAACTGTCAGAACTGGTTCTGGCCAGATTGGCCTTGCTTATGGAGTAGGGCCGCTCAGTTCTCCCGGTCCGGCGCGCAACGCGGAAATTGTGCGGGAATTCTACGCGTTGAAAATGGAGGCAGGTCCATCACAGACTTGTGGTGAGTATAATAGATTTATACCAACATTTTGTGCATTGTTTTGATGGAGGGCAAGATTGCTTTTCCCGAAGTGCCTTACGAAGGTTTTCATAAGCAAACTTTACTTCATTACAGGACTCGAGAACGAGGAAAAGCTTGCAACGTGGTCGTCAAAGAGCACTAAATTATTGATTTCCCTACGACGAGAGAAAACCGACCTCTTCGACAATGGCAAAGTACGAAGAAAAGTTGCATGGGATAAAGTTGCAGAGCAATTCAACGGTAACTCGTCGGTGAGAGTTACAGGAGAACAGTGCGCCAATAAATGGAAAAAACTAGAGGAGAAGTACAAAAAAGTAAGAGAGCACAACGCCAAAACAGGGAGTGACAAGAAGGAGTGCGAGTTTGAAGATGAAATTGGAAATAACAATTTGTTTCAGATTGCCGTTTGTTCAGTCTCATTTCGTACCTCTATGTTGACATATTTTAATTCGTGACTGTACAGGAAACCAGTTGCATGCACACAAAATGTCACAGTTTCATTACATATTAATTATCGTAATCTCGACATACATTCATTTTAGATCATCTATGGTTTTTTTCGTAGCATAAAAACCAATATTACAATGTTACCTCTTGGCCACTGAATAAGGTCTGTGCGAACATCCACAAGAGCTCTTACAACCCTTCCAATGCAACGCGACACACTTGACATTGTAATGTCGAAGCGATCAGATATTTGACGGCAGGTCTCTTAGTTCGCCAGGGCCCATACAGTCACAGCTATCTGTTTTCTTGCTTCAATGGACCGCCTGCCAAATGCATTTCCCTTTGGGATATGCTCACTTGGTGATAACAATTGAGCAAGTAATTCAAATGTCGAGGAAGTCATCCGGAAATGACTCCTGAAGCCATCGCAAGGATAGCGTGGAACCGTGATTTCGAAATAGTGCGCAATTCTCGCTAACTTGCGCCGAGAAAAAATACACATAATTGAAAGAAACACAAATTCATCTTCTGCATCGTTCATAAAAAGAGTATCCGACGACGACGACGAAAGAAAGTCGAGAAAAAATGTCGGCAAAATGTTGCAAATTTGCGTCGCTAAGTCCGCCATATTATTTACATCAGCTCTTGCGTGTCTCGCGTGTATATCGCGCAAGGGTCGCGTGGGTAATTACGCGAACCGGCCTTTGGCCGTTCCATTAAACCGACGAGAACCAGTTCTTTCCGGTCGGCCAGTTCTAACAAATGGAAAGCGTCCCAAGTCAAATGATTTCTGAGCCAACTAGGTGGCTCCCCCTCACGGACATTGATTGATCTTTGCATAACTAATTCTCCCTGAAAAATCGTTAATTCTGGTGTCGTCCATCTTGTTATTAGCTATCAGTCACTGGCCATGGTTTTTATGACCATCAAAATACGCTAAGAACGTATTGGCACTCATTTTACTATCGAGACCTGTATTTTCAAAAATGTAAAAACAACATAATTGCAGTTAGAACCTTCCCAGCATCTTTTACGACTGAAAAAAATTGTATGTCAAACAACTTTGTCAGTTTGAAGTCCTGGAGGGTACTACATTATAAGAAATAACTCCAGCCATGAAATATATATTTTCCGCAAAGTAGGTGTGATGACATCATCCGTCATGTGACCATGTTTAAAAGTGCGTTTTATCTGAGTGTGAGGATAGGCATTGAGCAATTGGAAAACACTTCACATATTTGAAAGGGTGATGTTATTCAGCATTTACAAATGGCCAGGTGGAATCTGCCGTCTCACAGTTCAGTACAATGATGCAAGAGACCGTGAACGGCAATGCTGCCGGTGTGAGGGGGCTATTCGCATGAGCGAAAAAAGAGGGAGACTGTGTCGAGGGGTATATCTTTTCTCGGGTGGAACGTACACAATCTAATCCTTGTGTGAGAGTGAGGTTGGGGTGGACATTTTCATACATTTGCTGTATTTTTGTCCACTCTGGCCTCGACTCGGCGCCATTATTTGCTGGAATGCGGGAAAGGTCTATTGCCGCACATGTGCTGATTTTTGAGAAGTGACGTGTAGATCAATTAATTCGTGAATTCATTAATTGAGTTGACAAAATACGTAACAAGTGGTCCAACCGAGCCGGATTTGTGTTGGAAATGCCGGGAAAATTGACGAAAAAGAGGAAGATTCGCGAAGGACAACGTGCACTTGTGACGAAGGTTCTCGGAAGCGTCGATGAAGTTTTAAAAAAATACGATGGATCTAAGAGCGCAAAAGACCGGAAAACTCGACCTAGCATCACTCTGAATGAAAAGCTGGTGACTTTGAAGGCACTCGATGAATCTATTTTGTTTGCAGTCGAAGATGGAGAAACTGAAAGCGAAATTGAGGAGTCTGAAAATTTTTGCGGGTAAATTTACGAACCTCTGGTAAAATTGCACGGTTGTCAAGCCGTGCACGATGGGAAAGAAAATCCGCAGAGTCAAGAAACTCATCAGGAGACAAAGTCAAGTGGAAACAATTCCAGACTGCCGAAATTGACGTTGAGTAAATTAAACGGGGATCCAAAGCGTTGGCAGCAATGGTGTGACTCCTTTTGTGTGGCTGTGCACGATAACAGCGCCATTTCCATACTGTAAAAATTCACCCATTTGCGAAGGCTGGTCGAAGGGAGTGCAACCATGGCTATTTCAGGATTACAGCTTACTTCGTGTAAGTATGATGCGGCTTTGGAGGTATTAAAAGAAAGATTCGTGCAAAGGCAAATTATTATTAATTCGCATATGGAATCGTTACTTGAGTTGAAACCGGTGAATGCGATGTTAGAGATCAGAGGTATTCGAGCGGTGCTCGACAGGCGCCTTGTTGATACCGATATTTATGGAAAAACTACCGGGTAAGCTAAAGCTGACAGTAAGTAGAAAACATAAGAAACACTGGTAACTAGACTCTGTTTTAATGGTCGTAAAATCTGAAGTAAAGGCCCGCGAGCGTTCTGGAATTCGACTAACGACAGATAAACCAGCTTCAAGGAAACCTCTCTTCCCAGGACTTGGAACTGTGAGAGCATTGTTGACTGGAGAAGGCAAGGAGTTCAGTTGTTAATTCTGCAAGGGAAGTCTTCGGGCGTCAGGATACACTGATGTGACGAATGTGGAGGAAAGGAAGTCTATTTTGAGGAAGAAAGGCCGGTAATTTATCTGTTTTCGGCGTGCGAGTCACTTGGCGCGAAATTGTGATTCTTAGATTCATTGTTCAGGTGGTGGAGGCCGTCACCATTTGGCTCTTTGTAATGCAGGAAGAGTACGGCACAGTGACAGTCCCGCAGTAGAAATTGTCAGCACTCAGTCCGAACGGTCCACATCTGCGATGCATGTGAGTTCAAGTATGCATGTTTTTCTTCAAACAGCCTAAGTTATGGTGTGACGACCGGGAGCACAAGAGTTTGAATATTCGCGCTATTGTTGACACAGGCGCACAAAGGTCAGACACATGTTTCCCAAAGAGTGGTGAATGCATTAAAACTGGAAACAATTGAGACAGAGAAACTAAGGATTGCTACATTTGGAGAAAAGAAACAAGAATTGCAAACAGTTAATCTTATTGAACCAGCCATGTGGAAGCCTAAGACAGGAGTTACATTGAATGCATTCTCAGTACCTCATATTTGCATTGATTTACAAGGCCAAGACTTGAGCTAGGTAAAAAACTATCCTCGCTTACGATACCTTTGCTGACCCTTGCTCTGATAAAGGACCCGTGCAGATTGACTTAATTCTTGATTGGTTCAGACTACATCTGGAATTTCTTTGATGTCAAGACGATACAGGGGAGGAATCAGGTCAGGGTGCTTCTGTGGCTGTCTCAACAACAGTTCGATGGGTACTGTCTGGCCCTGTGAGGAACCTTCCCAAGGAAAGGCTGTCAAGTATACAGTTTCAGTCTACTCATGTACTGAGAGTTGATTCAGGAAGCTCTGATTATACCCTATACAAGGATTTTGAGAGGCTATGGGACTTAGGTTCTATTGGCATCCGAGAAAAGGACACTGTCCATGAAGTCTTGGAGAAGAATGTTAGTTTTGAAGATGGCAAGTATTCTGTGTACTTACCCTGGAACGAGCACCACAAGTTGTTGCCAGTCAATTACGAGAGCAGTGTAGCGAGATGGAGCTCACAACTGAAGCGGTTAAGAAGAGACACTGAAGTCCTTAAAGAGTATGATTCTATTATCCCGGATCAGTTGCAGAGTGGCGTCACTGAACGAGTGGACACCACGAAATGCCCCGATATCGGAAAGGTGCATTACTTACCCCACCATGGAGGAGTGGTACGTAGGGATATATTGAGTACTTAGTTGCGGATTGTGTCTGATGCTTCATCCAAGGCTACTTGCAATAGCCTTAGTTTAAATGACTGCCTGTATTCAGGCCCAGCCTTAACCCCAACCATTTTCAAGATTTTACTCCGGTTCAGAGAAAGAAATATTCCATGAGTTGGAGATATCGAGAAGGCCTTCCTGAACATTGGAGTTCATGAACAGGATCGTGATACGTAACGATTCTTATGAGTTGACAGCTTAGAGCAGCAGGATCCACAGCTGGGGTTGTACAGGTTTTGCCGTGGCGTGTTTGGTGTAAATTTAAGTCCATTCCTAGTAAATGCTACCCTGCAGTACCACATTAGTCGGTACAGGTCAGATCCAGAGTTTGTGGAGAACTTGCTGAATTCATTCTACGTGGATGATTTAGTGTCTTGAGAAGGGAATCTTGAAAAGTGTCTGTCGCTCTACAAGAAGTCAAAGAAGTGCTTATCAGAAGGCGGTTTTAACCTACGAAAATGGATCTCCAATTCCATCAAGCTATTTACTTGATTTGTGAATATCGCACCAAGGCCGAGGGGTACTGGTCTGAGCAAAGGTCAGTAGTAGAAGACACGGAGACCTATGCGAGAACCACAGTGGGTCACGCTATCCCAGCTAAGATCGAGGTTTTGGATCGTCAAGGGAAAGCAATTTGTGAAGAAGATCATCTCCAGATATACCGTGTTTCGCAGGTATGATGGGCGTGGTATAAGGTACCCCCTCTGCCTGGATTTAGATTGAGTCAAAAATCTGCCCTTACCTATGTTAGAGTAGATTATGCCGGGCCGCTGTACATAAAGGAACGGAACTGTTCCACATTAAAGAAAGTCTATATCCTTCTGTTTACCTGCTGTTCAACCAGGGCCTTTCACATGGAATTAGCTACAGATTTGTCAGCTGACGTGTTCATTCGTTGTCTACGGAGATCTACAGTTAGAAGGGGATTGCCAGAAATCATTGTGTCAGATAATGCGAAGACGTTCAAGGCTGCAGTTTAAGTTCTAAGAAGGGTGTTTTCATACCCTAGTGTCCAGAGATTTCTTGCCAACGCACAGAAGAATTACCTAGAGGTTTATTATCGACAGAGTCCCCCGGCGGGGGATTTTTTAAAAGGATGATACAGAATGCGAAACCAAGTTTGCGGAAGACACTGAGAAACGCGAAGCTTACTATGACGAGCTGCATACCATTCTTGTGGAAGCCAAGGGAACGTTAAACTCTAGACCACTTACATATGTTTCCTCAGAAGATGTTGAGGAGCCACTGACACCCTTTCATTTGATCTACGGGAGAGGAATTCTATCTTTACGCAAAGTTACACCACGCAAAGAGGCTTCACTGAGCCAAGCAGCGTCATGCAGGGATGGCCCCAGAAGAAGGAAATATCTGCCGTTCTTGCTAGATCACTTTTGGAAGCGTTGGAATAAAGAGTACGTTGCAATTTTGCGGAACCTGCATCGTCAGAGACGCATACCAGAAGACAGTATTTCTCTCTCAATTGGAGACGTTGTCAACTTGTTTGAAGATAACCTACCCCGAAGTTTGTCAAGTGGCGAGGTTTCTTAAAGAACAACTTCGCATTTAGTGACCATGGTTTGATACGCCTTGCAGCCGCAAGTTAGCAGGATCCGATGTCCCGTGAACAGAAATCTTGAATTTCTTTTCCCCACCTTGATTTTTTATTCATTTTCAGCCCATGTGGAAATAATTGTAAATAAAATCTGTTTCTGGAAGGAAAAGTAGGGGTCACCGAACGTCCAAGATCATTAAATCCAAGCAAAGCTATAGCAACGGCCATCTGCCCTATCATTGTTCACTTTAGTAATTAGCGCGCGCTTGCGCCAGATTTGGACCACGTGGAAAAAGTAGATCTGTGCAAGGGCTATTGGAATCCACAAAGAAAAATTGGGGTAGCCACGCATTTTTCGAGCTAACTGGCCTTGAATCTCAGCAAAAATGCTGACATCAGCATTTTACGGAAAACGAAGGGAAGGATAATTTCTTCAAAGATTTCCTTCGAATTCGCCTTTACAAACAGAATAGCAAACACATTTATGCATGGTAAATGGTAAAATAAAAACAATTTTTGGCATCTTTTTATAACAAAATCGTTGCAACAGCGCTTTTAGCGTCTGTGACAGCCTTCCTTTGGTTCAGCCAAAATACAGTCTAAATACCTTTTGCTCACAACCAGAAACTAATCACGTGTTGAATAGACTTGGCACTTCCATTTCATAACATAAAACCACACGTTTTTTAAAGTTATTAGGCTGATTTAGCAAGAGAACCTGAACGTCACTTGACGACGGCGCGCGCAGTACAAATACCCAAAAATGGTCAGATGACGACTGCAGGGCGCGCGTAATAACCTGGATTCTGTTCTTATTTGACCATATTTGGGTATTTGTACTGCGCGCGCCGTCGTCAAGTGACGTTCCCGTTCTCTTGCTAAATCAGCCTATTGATCTTCTTCGAAACGTTTTACGGTGCCCGTTACATTTTTTCCTGTCACCTCCCCAATAAGAAAAACATTTGCGTATCTCACACTTGTTTTGCGCGCGCACTACGCCATCTGTAGGTACATGTTTACAATTGGATTTCGGTATAATTTTCGACAGATAACACCTAGTTTTTCAGCTGGAAGACGTTAACAGTTAGTAGTTAACGATATGCTGCTATATTAGTGTTCCTGGTTTAAGTACGGGTTCATTAAACTTGATTTGGTCACAGTAGGAAAATTTTGCTTTCTTTTAGTCGTGTACTTGGTAGCGTAGTTGATTACGTCAATGTCAACCCCAGCGCGCGCGTGGCACTTAAACCAGGCCTTGCGTGATGCGTAGAAATTATGCGTACTAACAAAAGTAGGCACCGTCCTTAAATAATATATAGATATAGCCAAGCCCAAAAGCGGAGCTCCTGTGCCGGGTTGTTCATGGGCGCGATCTATTCGACTAAAATTACCGGAAATTTCGGTCTAAAACTGAATGGATCGGTTCGGTCCAACCGGAAAAGTTTCGAAAAAATCGGTCCACCTTTCGAGGTGGACCACTTTTCTCGGTTTGACTGGTCCGATCAAAATGGACCGTTCCATTTGACCATTCCGGGTGGAGGCAACGTGGCCGAGTGGTTAGAGGCCCGATTTTTTAATCCGTTGGTACCGGGTTCAAATACCGTTCTGACCGCTAGCTGATGTTGTTCTCAGAAGCCCCGAGTTCGACTTCTCGGCTGCGCTTGCAGCTTTTATGGTTTCTTAAGAGTGAATCTATCATGTTACCCGTACAGGTCTGAAGCTGCTTTCCAAGCCAAGTGTGTGTTTTGGCTGTTAACTCATACAGCAAATATCTGGGAACGGTCTGCTCAAAATAACCCGTTTTAGACCCTTATACTTGTTACCTTACTACCCATGAAACAGCTCACACAATATCGTTGATTTCACCGTCCAAATCGTCATCTAGCTCTAATACGAGCAAAAGTGATCCAACATCGTCCATTTTAAGTGAGCGCGAAACTAGTTTTGCGGGTGGAATGGAACGAGACCGTCCAGACCCGTCGCGATCCATTCGACACCGAGAAATTTTCGAACCTCAGCCCGGAAATTTTGGTTGAATGGATCGCGCCCCATAGCTCGATTAAGGCATGAGCTTAAGTATGAGACTTATTAGCTTAAAGTATCGAGTATAGATATATATCGAACATTCCCTGAAAATGCGATTCCAGACCTCTATCGGCGACTGCACGCTTCAACATTTTCAAAATGGTAGTTCGAGAAACGAGATCAACGTAAAAATTTAACAAGTCAACTAGTTCACCGATAATCGTCTCCATCTCAAACTTATCCAACCTTCTCATTCAAATTGAAAGTTTATATAGTCCTGGTACCCAATTACATTTTTTTTTTTTTTTTTTCACAAATGAGATACATGTAGCCACAGTAAAACAAACAAGCACAGACAACGATTACAAACTTTACCTCAGATAGATACTGATCAAGGCTTGGAAGGTAGCAAGGCTCCATTTGCCGAAGAATTGAATCGTTTATGGCGTCCGGCACTTTATAATCACTGACAATAACGAAAAATGTTTATTTGTTTCAGGAGCAGTTGCGGCAGAAGTCATATCGGCATCCACGGCTACACCTGCAGCTTTAAGGACTGCAAGGGAAGGTACACAGTTATTAAAGAGTACATTAGAAGTTCGAAATAACTCGTTAATGTCGAAAGGGAAGCATGCGAATGTTTTCAGATGCTCTAGTCAGTTCAACCCTAGCGTGACCCGAGCGGTTCGTTTTTATGTAAAACGGCCGAGATCTGTAATTTAGACTATAAAATTCTAACATAATAGAGCGATTTCTCACTCATCGATAGCTCAACCGCTATCAGTACTTAGTGACTAAGTGGGAGGGCCGGAGAGGAAAATATTTGGCTCGAGTTCAGCACAGCGAAATTACACTAACAAGGGATAATAACTTGGTGAATTTACAATCTGCATGTTCATAATTAATGTAGAGGGATTTTATTGAAAAGCCGCAGCGTTCTTTAATAGTGAGTGTTGTTGGTAATGACTGTGTCTTACACTGGTAATAAAAGTAAAATTGTTTTCAGCAAATATATCAAAGAGTATTTGTTAAAAGCATAAATTGGATTCATTTCATTTCAGCAGTCATACTATATTCCGTGGAAGCCAGGGAAAATGCACAGAATATTGTACCATTTCTGCCTTTGAAATGAGCGAAATAAATTCTAACATGCATCTAGAACACCAGTACTTAAAATCAAGAATGCACGTTGTGCGAAACAAAGAAATGATGACGAGTGAGGGGAGGTATGGTCCTGCTCATTTTGAGCGAATTTTGCAACGTGGACAATAAGAAATCGATAAAATTCTCTTATTTCTGAGCCTTTAGAATGCAGCTCTCGCATGTTCATTACTTCGCTTATTACCTGGAAGCCAAAATCGGGACGTTTCTTGTCGTTATTAATGTTACACACTATTCATTTTATTTCAGAAACTAGTAGGAAACTGATTGCTAAGAAAGAGAAGGCAGAAAAAGATAAAGCAAGTGAAGGCCACTCCATTTCACTGAAAGAATGGCGCATTCCCAAGAAAGGAGGAAACTACAAAATGTGTGCTAAGTAAGTATTTTTTATTATTACAATCTTAATATTGCAACTATCTTGAGGTGATATCATCTTCCCATAGTCAAACTGAAGAAATAGGGGAGAGATAGGAGGGAATTGCGCCATTTTCTTCACTATCCCCGACGTGGTAACGTCAGAGCAATTTCTTAATCGCCAACACTCTTCAGCAATTCTTTAACCGCACTGTATCGCCACTGTTAGAAGTTAGAAATTTAAATTTTCTTGATTTTCAGAGCTTTATTCATAACCCTCATAGATTCTGTTCGTTACATGTAAACAATTATTAGCCACGAACACATAGAGTGGTCTGCCTGTGTCTGTGTTCTCAATAGAATACTCTTCCAACCGTTCTCGGTAACTCCTGGTAATAGTCTTTAACAAGTTGTTTTCCTTTTTTTTCGTCGCGGTGTTTTCTAAAAGAAATAGAAAACATATTCTCCGTGTTTCTATCGAGTTTAGAAACACTCGTGAAAGTTTGGGAGAACTCGAAAAAGCTGTGGAAACATTCGCCTGCGGCTCGTGTTCCAACATCATTTCTCGTGCTCCCAAACTTCCACTCGTGTTTCTTTTACTCGATAGAAACACGGTACATGTTTTCTATTTCTTAAATATATGATATTTTCCAGTGACTTCTACTGGTACTTGTATATAACGAACTCACAAAATGATTACCTCCCAGTTGGATTGGTAGCCCAGTTGAAATAGAAGTGCACCGGTATCGCAGATTTGTTTCTAATTTTTTTTTTTTTTTCCATTTTTCAATTAGTCAATTCTGGATCGGAAACGTGTTTTAGTTGAATTTCTTTACTGCATTGATGCCTCTCTTTTAAATGTTATTGTGTTTAAAAAAAAAA